TAATTGATTTTATTGTATTGATAATGTTGGCCATAGGTGAAGTCTGAAGTTTGCTAATGTAGCTTCTTTTCTTTTTTTAAATCTTGGGAATTATTTCTTGCTTCAGGGTAGAAATGATGAACTTGTGCCTCAAATATTGATCTTTTTAGACTTTTTTAAATGATGCCAAAAGTTCTTTGCCTCTCACCTCTTTTGTTTTTTCAAGGGGATTTCCATGCAATCAGTAATATGTTTTACATTCTTGAAGCGGTATTATCTATACTTGGAAAGAAAAGGAAGCACTTCTGAAATCTCACTACAAGATGTCTTAAAGTGAATTATATTATTCGGCTGTTAGCTCATGCATCTAGCATTGTTCTATCTTTTTCCACAAGCTGAACTGGTCAACTTACCATGTTTATTTGACAAACTGTTTGAGAATGATTTGATTTCAGGTCTTTGCCCTCAGTGATGCCGGGGATTTGGCTGAGAATGCAACAGCTTATGTGAGCTTGGAACCATGTAATCACTATGGGAGAACTCCACCATGCAGTGAAGCCCTGGTAAAAGCCAAAGTGAAGAAGGTTGTTATTGGGATGATTGATCCAAACCCAATTGTGGCTTCCAGAGGTGTGCAAAGATTGAAAGATGCAGGAATTAATGTAGTTGTTGGGGTAGAAGAAGAATTGTGCAAGAGGCTCAATGAGGCCTTTATCCATAAAATGCTGACAGGGTCGCCCTTTGTTACGCTTAGGTAATTTACGCCCTACTATTATTTCAAAATAGAAAGCAAAACAATCATCAATAGACATCTTTATTTAGTTTTTCAATTGATTTGCTTGGGTAGTTCATATTTAGCCTCTCTTTATTTCAATGATCAAGTTTCTTAGTACCTTAGTTTTGCGCAATCCAATTGTGAAAGTGAGCTAAATTAAGGCCTCGCTTAAACGTGCAGATACTCCCTCTCAGTCAATGGCCATCTTGTAAACCAACTTGGGGAAGGAGTCACTGACTCTGGTGGATACTACTCTCAATTGTTACAAGAATATGACGCAGTTATACTTTCTGCCTCGTTATCTGGCAGTTCCCCATTTCCTGCATCACAAGAACCTGGTGCCAATCAACCCCTTTGGATTCTAATGGCAGGAGGCCCTAGTTCTCGAATCCAAATTCCTCTACCTACGGAAGAGGCAGCTTCTAAAGTTACGATATTTACAGACAAAGAGGCAAGCGAAGAACCAGAAACTTCTAAAAAGGGTATTGAAACTGTGGTTTTGGATAAGATAAATTTGAATGCAATTTTGGAATATTGTAAAAGCCGGGGACTATGCAGTGTTTTGATGGATTTGAGAGGCAGTTTCGTTGAGCTTGAAGAGCTCCTAAAAGATGGTACCGAGCAGAATTTATTGCAAAAAATTGTGGTGGAAGTATTACCTTTCTGGGATGAAAGCAGTGGTTTAAGTTCTCTCACGGCATCAAAGAGCATTCGACGAAGGCTAAAAGTCAATAACTTACAGCCCAAGATCTCAGGTGATCAGAGCATTGTACTGGAGGGTTATCTATAGTGCTATAAGACGTAGGAACTTATGGCGGCAGAATGAGTTTTGACAAGTACTTCGGCTACTGATCTATCCCATGACGGCATAATTTTGGCGATTGATCTATGCCAGCCAGGCAGCCTCGCCAATTCTTTTACTGGCCTGGGAAAGGGACAGCCCACCCTGCCATCTTTGTGCGAGTGATGGAAACTCTTACCTGTATTTCAAATTGACAATAAAGTGGCATTTCCCGATTGTTTTATTGTAAATAACTAGATAGTTGTACCGCTCTATGGCATGGGTGACCTTTCAATGTATTAACTATGTTGCGGGTGACCTTTCAATGTTTCAACATATTAATAAATTTATATATAAGCAGTCTATTAATATAAATCACAAACAAAATCGCAGCATATAAAGATTCATTCAGAATGAAAAACCAATGCAAATGGGCTATGGATTTATTTTTGTACAAAGGGTATAGGCAATTTTCAAGCAAAAGAGAGAAGGTCAGAATGTCTAAAGATCAACAATGTTAGGTCAAACAAAGCCTATGGACTAAAAAGATTACAGAAGGAATTGCAAATAAAATAAGAGAAACTTACTGAAATTTATGTTGAAAACTTATTAGTCATTGCATTAGTAAATAATCCAATTTTATAATAGAAGTAAGTATAATAAAAATAAGCATATTAACATAAGATTTCATTATTTATGAGAATGTATTGCAAATAAAAAAGTTGAAGTCAAGCCACAAAATGAAGTTGCAGAAATATTCACAAAGCCATTTAAATATAATATTTTTATTAAGATAAAAAATGTATTGGAAGTTATGAAGAAATCAAGTTTAAAGAGAGATGTTCAAAGTAAACTAGATTTCGATTCTAAAAAATAAAGGAAATGGTTTACCGGTTGAGAATCAACTAACCAGCTAGAACAAGTTGAATTGGTTAACCGATTCAGAAACAATCGATCAATAAAATACAATCCATATTCAAATTGAGATTTTTTTATATTAGTTTAATTTTTTAATTGTCTAGAACTTTATATTTATAAAAAAAACTAATAATTCATCATTATGTAAAAGCACAAAAAAACAAAAAAGCTAAAAGAGTTTAAAGAGAAACATTAAGTATATCTTCCTTTAAATCTTCTTCTTGAGCTTTTAGTTTTTAACTTTGCACTTCTACCATACTTATTATTCTTCCAACAATCCTAACCTATGTGAAAAGGACCACTGCTTATAAAAGAATCACATCTATATAACAGGTTTTTCTTTTATTTTTTTAAGGTTGGATGTTACAACAAAACACACAAAGAAGGGAAAAAAGGAAAATGGGAGACCTGTTGTAGAGAAATTTTACAGTTTGAGTATAGTTTGTTCAATTTTTAAATTGCAACTTATTTACGTTTTGATAACTTAAAATTTTTACAACAAGTTTCAAATACATAAATCTTGATTATGTATGGTTAGATTTAATATTAGAGATATTTTTAAGTTGGTTGTTTTATTATAAAACAGGGTTGTCAATTTTTACGAGGATTTCTCAATTTTCTCACTTTAAACTTATTATATTTCAATAATAAATTATTTTTAATAATTTATATGTTATAGCATTTATAAGAAAGAACACTTTATGATCCCATTATTTATTAATAATAAATTTTTTTAAGGAAACCACAATCTCGTGTTTTTTTCATATCAAGTTGACCACGTAAAAAATCTTGATATTAATTTGTTGTGATTAATTACTTAATAACATCTTGATATTAATTTGTTGTGATTAATTACTTAATAACATCTTGATATTAATTTGTTGTGATTAATTACTTAATAACATCTTGATATTAATTTGTTGTGATTAATTACTTAATAACATCTTGATATTAATTTGTTGTGATTAATTACTTAATAACATCTTGATATTAATTTGTTGTGATTAATTACTTAATAACATCTTGATATTAATTTGTTGTGATTAATTACTTAATTTTATTAATTGATTGATCAATTTTTTAATTGCATAAAGAAACAAAGAAGTAAGAGGATTATAACTTGTAAATTTGGTTATATCAATAATTTTTTTATATCATTTAATTCATCTCATCGATATATTTTTTTGATAATAGTAATATTATCATAATTGAAGTACTGGTAAATCTTTAAAGTCATTTTTATTTTTTTTTATCTTTTCTTATTATAATTTATACAACTCATTTTATAATTTTTTTGAAATGTTACATTTTTTATGCCATGGTTAGCTTACCAAGAATCCGATGGCTGATTAGCAATAAGATTAGTTTATATGCAAACTGCCATTCATGCCATAGTTAGATGTATAAATATATCAAGCAATTCATTTTCTCATCTAGATAAATAAATATTATTAAAGTGTGTTTGTTTTTTAGATAGTTTTTGTGATTATAATTTTAAAAAAATAAGTTTAAAAATAGTCTAGTTGGTTGGATTTAAATATATATTTGATAAAAATTGTAATTGAAATTTATATACAGTAGAAACATGTATAAAATATTTGGTAGTTATGTAGTTGTAATTGATTTTCAAAATATTTTTTATTTGGAAATGCATTAAAATAATATACTCTTATTTTTAAAAAATTATTTTTGATATCAACACATCAAAATGATTTAAAATACAAAAAAAATATTAATTTGAAATAAAAAAATTATTAATTGTTTTTAAAAATGCTTTTAAAATATAAAAATAAAAAATATTTTATAAAATATAATTAAAAAAACATGTAAAATCTACTTTATAAAAATTACATTTCAAACTTAATTTTTTAATGAATTCTAAGTATAAAACATAATTTTTATAATTATTAAATATCTTTCTTCATTGTTTCCACCGCGAACGCAAAAATAGGTGAAATACAAATGCACCCTTATTCTGCATATATACTGTTCCGCTGCATCTCTTCCACTTTTTATTTTTTTTAATTTATTGGACTTCACTTGCCTAACCAAGCTACACTGAAAAGTTTAAAATGCTATAAAACAACATAAGAATATAACTTCCTGTGGGTATTAAGCATTATCTCAATATATATGCTTTTTAAAATAATTTGTGCAATAAGAATAAAATATTTATTTTTTTAGTTTTTGAAAGAAAAAAAAATGCTCCAGCCTCTGCGTTACGCGTCCTCTAAAGTGAAAGCAGGGAAAAATCAACCAACCAAATAAGTTATATCATAAAGTATATAGCATTCACTAATTACCTCTAATTTGTTTCCTTCATGTTTACCGAATAAATTCCAGAATTGTCAAGATATCATTGGACTCGTACAGCATGCGTACCGTGATAGAATGGCCATTCTTGCTTACTAACAATGAAGTTTTCCACGTTCCAAGAAAGCTGCTAAATTGCCCTAATTTTTCGTCATGCTTTGATCTATATAAAGCTTGGTAGAGATTCAACCTCTTCACACCAAATCATCACTGAACAAAAAGAGAAAATATAATATGAAGAAGCAAGTTTGTTCAAGTGCTCTCTTTGTCTCTTTTCTTTTTCTTGCTACATTATGTTTAAGCATTGAAGCTCAGACTTGCAAGCCTAGTGGCAACATCAGAGGGAGAAAGCCTCCTCCAAACCAATGTAATCAGGAGAATGACTCCGATTGCTGTGCAGATGGCAAGCTTTACCCCATTTTCAAGTGTTCACCTCGAGTGACCGGCCGCACAAAAGCAACCTTAACATTGAACAGCTTTGAGAAGGGTGGAGATGGCGGAGCACCGTCAGAATGCGACAACCATTACCACTCAGACGATACACCTGTGGTGGCACTTTCAACTGGATGGTATAATCATGGGAATCGATGCTTAAACTTCATAAATATCCACGGAAATGGTAAGAGTGTCAGGGCTATGGTAGTTGATGAGTGCGACTCTACGATGGGATGTGATTCTGACCATGACTACCAGCCTCCTTGTGCTAACAACATCGTGGATGCCTCGAAAGCAGTTTGGAAAGCATTGGGAGTGCCTGAAAGCGACTGGGGAGAAATGGATATTTACTGGTCTGATGCTTGATTCACCCTTTTCTGTTTTCTGCGGTAATTTGTTGTGGCATCAGGTTGATCCAGGCCCTATACTATGTAGCTTTATATTATACAGGTAATCACAGCATGTGTTTAAGACTTTGTGTGAACTAGAAAAAGCTTTGAGATCAAGTATCTCTTTGATCGACAAATTTATCAATTAAATTTTAAATTCTGTGCCTCATTTATTCGACAAAAACAAGCTGTCTTCCTGAAAAACTGCGAGGATCACTCAGAGAATTAACTGATTATTACATAATGATGATAGTGATTGTAATCGAACGATGACCACTGAACAGATATTCTAAAAAGTAAGCCATATGTTTGAAGATATTGCAGGGATCTCTTTCCCAAGAATGTTTACCTTAGTAACAGCGCTGTGCCCTTTGCTTTTCTGATCGAAGAAACAAAAACAAATGCTGCCTAAAACTTATCCTATGCCACTAGTTTCCTCATTTTAAGCAATGAAAAATGAGAAAAGCTTACTGCTGCAGATGCTATATTTTGATAAGCATCTGTTGTTCTATCAGATCCCGTTCAGTGAACACTGCCACGCACAGTGAAGTCAAATTCTTTTATACCCATACATTACTACTAGTGCATGCTATTATGAGTTCCAAGCATGTGAGCCAAAAATGAGGAAAAAACTAATCAGATGTTAAATCTTTAACAACGTTTTCATAAGTGTCGCATTAAGCTGACACGCTTATTAGGGTTATTCTTGGTTTGAGGTCGTATAATCCTCAGAACCTCGGAAATATGCATAAGATTAACAAGTCAAAAGGGTGCGACGGCAGTGGATCGAATCTGTGGGTTTCAATAAAATGGAAAAGCACCTATTTGATTGCAGATTGCGTTGTTGTTATTACTTGGAAAATCAAAGGTACGTTGTTTAGAACTTTTTTGCTGAAGGTGCACATTTTTCCTCTTAAATTAGGCTCAAAGAAGAGAAGCGGTTGATTTTCAGGTAGCAAATCATCAGGGTAGCTAGAAAAGGATAAAGACAAACTCAGATCTTCTGGCACAATTTATCAGATTAATGACTGGAATGTAGCTGAAAAGTTTATGGATTAGCTAGCTTGATACACAAAAATCTAAGAAGGTATTCTCATATGGTAAACATGTAATTGTTTTAGATGTCGAAATCTACTTTGAAAAATATGAATTACCACTACCAAAAAATTCATAGTCACAAATTATGATCTGAATAAAGGTATTCCAGTATACTATTTGTAAAAACAGCTGACATTCTTAGTTTCTTGTGGAGCTAGTCTTGTTATTCAATGCTAAACTGCTCGTACATTATAAAATTGTAGCATTGAACTCGGTGATCTAAATTATTCTCGCTGACGAAGTAGAGATCATGATGATGTGACATGGTGACCCTTTACAGTAACACTAGCTGAGTTAATTCTTACAGAATCGAGTTCCTGCTTGCACGTTGAAGCAGAATAATTCGGGATTTTATCAGCTCATGACCCTTCAAGCAGCCATACATCAATTAACTAACCGTATAAAAACCAAATAATTGAAAGCAGGATTGGAAGTTCCTGACAGTATCGGGCTAGGACAGTACTTATGTTGGAAAAGAGACTATTTTCCCAGCCCGAGGCGGACGCTATAGATATGCTACCTGAATTTCGATGCCTTAATTTTGTTTTTATCAGCAAATTCAAGTCTTGTAACCACTCCGCGTGTTAATCTAACTTAACACAAGGGAAAGAAATGTATACGGGTATTCTGTAATGCTTTAAGAATAATATGGACAAATTCATGAAGTCATTGTTATAAATATGGCTCTTAAATTTCCTGTCTTGCACCAACACATCACAGAAGAAGAAACACAACGAAGTGCGAGAGGATGAGAAACCAAACAGAGAACAAGGCTAGAAAGTATCTACGTCTAACTAGATGCCATGAACTGCGGTATACGGTGAGAACCATGGATCTCAAAAGTGTTTGTATTAAAGTAATTATTATAGTTGTGATTTGAAAAAAATTATTTTATAAAAAATATTTTTAGTTGGGATTACTTTAAAAAAATAAATATTTAGTTAAAATTGTTATTGAAATTGAGGTTGAAGGAAAAGTAGTTTAATGTATTTAGTTAAAAATCATGTGTAAACAATACAGGTGAATTGTATTGTTCATGTAAACAGTGCAATTTACTTATAAACAGTAAACAATGCAGGTGAATTGTATTGTTCATGTAAACAGTGCAATTTACTTATAAACAATGCAAGTGAATTGCACTATTAACTAAACAGTACAATTAACATAAACAGTGCATGAAAAGCAGGATTTCCTTATTTTTTAAACATAAAAATTATGTGAGATCTCTAAATAGTAAATTAATTTTTAAACTACATTTTAATTAAAATAAAACCACAACAGTGTAAACAAATACTCTCATTGTCTGTTGCCCATTCCTATCAACATTTTAGTGTGGCTGCAAAAATAAAAAAATAAAAAAATAATATTTTTGTCTTGTTGCAATCTATAATACACCATAAGTTAAAAAAAATAAGAAAAAATTATGATAATAAAAAAGAAATCCAAACAAACAAGGTTTTCAAATTTTGTTTAACCAACTCTTATTTTAATAATAATGTTGTGTTTTAAAAATATTTTAAAAAATAATTTTTTTATTTTTTTCTTTGTTTGAAATTAAAAAAAATTAATATTTTTAAATTATTTTAATATACCAATTATCAAAAATAAATTTTAAACAATAAAAAAATATTACTTTAATATATTTAAAAAAAAAAAAAAACCAACAACTGATATCACGTACCAAACAGCCTCGTATTCATCCGTCTGAAACCAGAACCCCCAAGGCCCCAACTACACATTTTTCTTTCCCCGCCAATCTTTTATTTATTACCTCAAAATCCCGAAATCACCACGCGGAAAACAACATCAAATCAATGGAAGAACCACGACCAGTCCAGGACCCACCAAATCTCCAAAACCTGCCCGTTCAAAACCCAGACCCGAATTCAAACTCAGACCTACATTTCACAGCACCATCTGACCCTCCGCCACCACAGCCACAACCTGCAGCACCGCCACCGCCACCAGCAGCAGTACCGACACCCTCACCTCCTCCTGTCCTTCCTGAAAGCAAGAAGAGATCACTTGACAATTTCGGTCCAATTCAAGAATGCAGATACTTCAAGATGCGCGCTGTTGTCAAAGATATCAGACCCCATTTTCTTGAGGTACATTCTTAGACACCCATCATTAAATTTTAAGTCTTTGGTTTTAATGTAGGTTTGAATTCATCGTTTCTTTTTTGTTTTGTGTGTTCGAGGTGATTTTATTTATGGGTTTGAGTTATAAATCATTAGCAGTGCTGAAGTTGTGTTCTATCATAATTATTGCTTCTTGGTATATTCGGTTCCTGTGATATGAATGATCCTGTTTTCCATTTTGAAATTACGGGTTTTTTTTAATTTGTTGATCTTATAAAAAAAAAAATTCTTAATTTAAGATTGAATTATGATATTCTGGTACAAACTTCACTTCATGCAAGCCCTTGGTGGAGTTTATTTGCAACAATTCTTTATTTTTGCCTGCATGGTCAAATCTTGAGTACTAATCTTTACATTTGTTTGAGACTATGAAAACCTTGTCTGCGAATGTGGCTGGAGTGTGGTAAGTGACAAGGTATACACTAGTGAGTGGTTTTTTTACTACCATTTGGAGAGTTGCAATGACTTGCAGTTGGTCACTACATGTCTTCATTTGTTAGCTCGTCAATCTATAGTACTTGAAATTTTGATGTTAAGATGTGAAGGGTTTAAAATTCTTCTGTTTTGTTGAAGATGCTTCGAACAGTGGACTTCCAGAGTTGCAAAGTAGCCGAGGAACTTAAACAAAGTAAGTTCATCAATTTTCACTTTGTATCATTGAATGGCACCTAGTTAACCAAGTACAGTAGTTGAATGCAAATGTGATCTTTCTCTCTGTGATCAATTTACCTCATGTTGAAAGAATGCTAATAGCAGTACAATACTTAGAATTGATATGCTGAATCTAGGTCTTCTCTCTGTGTTCAATTTACCTCCTGTGGAAAGAATGATAATAGCAGTACACTACTTACAATTCATGTATTGGATTTAGGTCTGTTTTGTTGGTTTTTTCATTGCTTAGCTATGATTACATTTGCAGCCTTTTCTATCTTGAAACTCTATCGTAAGTTTCTCTGCAATTCTTATGGTGAGAGTCATTTGAGCCTGATTTGATGGAATTGGTGGGGTTCTATCCTCTTATGACATTTAACGTTTCTCATAAGCTGGTCAAATAACATTTACACTATTCATTTGCAATAATTCAAGCCATGCTTTGATGGTAGATTTATTAATCTGTTGTTGGCTCATAAGACGTGCTTTTGACCGTGTAACTTGTGTTTTGCAGAGCTGAAGCTGCTTATGGAACTATACATGCAGATGACAGCAGAAAAGCTCAGTACAACCAATTGTAAGACTGCACCTAACCCTGGTGAAAATGGGGTAGGACTAAAGCCCCAGGAGCAGCTTCATGACACAGCGGATCAGTCTCGACCAGGCCAGGTTTTTGCAAAACCATCTGAAAAGCAGCAAGCCGAACATAGTCAGAATCAAGGGACACATATTGTTGGAGGATCGGCTTTTGGCTGGAATTTTATCACCTTTACTGGCAGCATGCCAATCTACTATGGAAGAACAAAGGAATCATTCCGAGCTGCTCATGTGACTTTGTAGGCAACCATTCTCCTCGCTCACACAATTTGTTAGTCGAAAGGAAAGCATGTAACAATAAGAATATTCGGAGCCTCACCCATGAGCTTTGCACAAGGGGATGCTTTCAATGATTTAACAGTTGTAATGTGTGTAACTTTGGTGGAATGATTGCACAATTGTAGGTTTTTACAAGAAATATGATGAAATCTCCATATTGGTGTCACAATGTTTTAATCATTTCCTTGCGTAGGCTGTATTTGTCCTGGCAAGATGAAAATGGTGCACAGGTGCTTTGCCAGGATGCTGAGCTAAGTGTGGTGCACATCCAATGCGTTTTGGATCATGTATTTGAATCGGTTCATTTTCAACCTTCTTTTAGTTTATTAAAACAAAACAAACCGTGCAGAGTAGTGAGTTTTCAATTATTTTTAACTACATAAAACAAGAGTGATAAATATATATTGGTTGATTTGGTTTCATTTAGTCGTTTGGCTTTATCGTGATAGCTGGGAATTTCGAATTTCTTTTCTGGGACTTGATGTACTTGTCGTCTTATCCTATGCTGGATTAACCCTCTTGAACGGCTATTGAAAAGGTATAGTCTCACTTGCTTAGTTTCTGACCGATTCTTCCCATGGTCAACTGATGTTGCCTCACATTGTGGAATTACAAGATTTGTCTTCCATGGAACATGTTTCTTCTCTTCATGTGCCATAGAATGTGTGAGATTGTATCAGCCTTACAAGACGGTATCATATGATCACACGGATGCTTTTGTCAATCCAAATTTTCCAAGCGAGATCAAATTGACAAGACAACAACTGCCGGATTATGTTAAATGAAAGAACTTATGATTTCTCAAAAGATTGAGCCAGGCTATGCTGAACATTACAGGTAGTTTTTAGGAAGAAAGGCATGGCATACAGACCCCTTTTGGCTATGGAATTGTGTGGTTGAAAATAAGGCAAAGAGATGTAAAGAAGCCTCAATCGATGAACATGAGCGTATGAAATGGCTCAGTTCAAACAAGGCAAATTCAGATGTTTATGTATGCTTTGGAAGTATGCTTCTTCACGACTTCTGGAAATCATAACGTCTTGTAGATTCTGGGTTGCTATGCATAGGAGCATGGGCACCACAAATATTGATTCTTGAACATGAAGCATTAGGAGGATTTGTGACACATTGTGAATGGAATTCCCCACTTGAAGTAATAATTGCTGCAGTCCCTATGGTAATATGGCCTGTTTCTGCAGAGCAGTTTTATAATGAAAAGCTGGTTACTGAGATTTTAAGAATTGAAGGGTTGGAGTGCAGAAGTGGGCTGCAGTGGTTGGTGATAGCTTGAAGAAAGAAGGCATAGAGAAGGCAGGGGCTCATGTTATGGAAGGTAAAGAAGTAGAGGAAGGAAGCTTGGAGAAATGGCAAGGAGATCTGTTGAAGCTCCTGATTTCAACGCTTTCCTTCAAGAAATGAAAAGCGAGAATTGCAACTAAAATTTAAGGGACGTTGTCGCTGCTTCCTCTGCCTCACATGTCTTGTATCTGAGGCCATTCCGAAAGTACATCAAAGATGTTATGCGGTAGAGATACCCGTATCACAAACTACACAGGTATATAAACGAGAATGATATAAAATGACCCAGCTTGTCAAGTTTTGGTTAAAAAACTAGGCTTACTTGGATCTAACTTACTATTATTTTATTTAATTTATTTTGACATGTTTTATTGTTTTTTTATTTATTTAAAATTATTTATATTAAATAATTTGATTTGATGAGCTGAATCTAATAACAAGATGTTTTAAAATTTACTATTTATATATTTCTTTGTTATTTTATAAGATAATTTTAATGATTAATAAAAATATTACAAACTTTGTATATCTCTAATTCTTTTTTTTTTAAGTTTTTTTTCCTCTAAAACTTCTTCTTTTTTACTTTAATTATTATTATTATTTATTTTCCCGCATCACTATGCAAACTTCCAATTTTCAAGTTTAGCAAATCAATACCTACTTCTTTCTTTGAAATGTATATGAAATACAACATGAAGCTAGAAATGCCAAGCTAGTCACAATCTTATATAGATTCTATAGATATTAATCCAAACGATCCCTTATCTTACCTAATGAATAATTGATGAAATATAAATATTATCAAACTCAATCTAAACATAACTCAATATATATTTATATAATACAGAAATACATGTAGAACATTTTTATTTTTTTGAATCCAATATAATAAATACATATATCAACATTGACATAATATACACATATTTATAACATTTATAGTTTTATCATTTAATATATATATATATTATAATCGGAAAATGAATATCTATATAGATACTTGAAACCTCATGGATAGAATATGTATTTCTGAATTTCTTACCTGATGTATAATAAATAGAGTATAAATATAGAATAATCTGACTAAATAGATATCCATTGACATCCCTGCTAATGACAGCAAACTGGAAGTTCAACGCCTAAAACAATCAACATCATTTAACAAGAAATAGCTAGGGACTGGATGTACCTTTTACATGAATTACATTATTAGAGATGTTTTTCCACTGTCTCATCAACTTCCTTTTTCAAAAAAAAAAGAAGAAGAAGAAGAAAAATTCTAGTTTAAGATGAAAGTAGCAGGAAAAAAATCTGGAATCAAGACATGCATAATGGAGCAAACCACACAGAATGAATGAACTTGCATACCTACATGAAAGAAATGCCAACGCCTACCAAAAAAAACATAGATTGAGACACCTCAACTCCAAGATATCATCATAAAAAATCATTAGCAAGAAGAATTGCTTTCTTCACAGGAGGAGTTGAGTAAAGCTTTCACTACCCTGATGTCCATGGAAGTGAAGATTCCACAATAGATGCCACATGGTTATCTTCAGAAATATAAAACCACAAAAAGATAGAATTGAGGAGATTCATCAACCACCAGAGAGCATGTTACGTCTCACTTTTGTCCAGAGTTTGCATTCCTCTTGGCTTCAAGATTTGTACCTTCCTTGAGCGCAGCATGTGCTTCATTTTCCATTCCAAGTGTAGCGAGGGCAACAGCCTGAAGATACGATGCCACGTGCCATACAGGGGAAATGACTTGGGCTTGCATTGCATCACTTAGAGCTTCCTGAGGCAGGTCACTCATAAGATAGGACAGACTCCGCCGGGCAAAAACAGTTGGGGAAACCATGGTTCCCACATCAATGAACTACATGTCATAGAAGAGTCTGTCAAATACAATTTGTATACTTGCTGTTAAAACAAGTGGGGAAAAAATTAAAATCAGGTAGCTTGGTATGATAAGGAGATTTTATTATTAGCCAAGAACAGCACAAATTAATGTAAAAACAATTCCTAACATAATTCATGAATGAAAACTGAAAACTTTGAAATAAGGAGGACACCTGAGTGTAACACTCAATTGCAATTCTATAGTCTTTCTGCTTGAAAGCAGAATCACCCTTTTTCTTTGTATTTAAAGTCTCCAGCATTTCATCTGTCCACATTTGGAATGAGAGCTGCGCATAGGAAAAAAATTTGAGTTAGAATCTTAGCTGGGTTCTTGGCAAGTTAGAGAACATGTGAATAGAATGAGCCAGTGAGCATTTGCAATTTATATGAGAAAAGAAACAGCAAAACACTTAGGTAAAGAATAATTGCTTGAAATGTGAATATAACAAGAATAGCAGATAAGCCCAGAGTGAAAAGTATACAGTTTATAATACAGTTAAACATCTACTATTTGAAACCTATTGAGAGCTTTAATATGAAATAGAGAACCTCATTTGCCACTCCTTGATCATCTTTATAACCAATATTGTCTAAGATCTCATTTATGGCTGTCAGGTCCCTTCTAGAGCAAGCCTCGCCAAATGGTGACAAAGGAGGGGATGAAGCACCATGTGGGATACCTATCAAGATATGAGAAGGAACCTGCACAGGAAAGGAAATGGAAAAATGAAAACTATTTACGACTCGCTTCTAATGTCAAGTTTAGTTTCAAGCAGTCCCTGATGGTTTAAGTGTATTGACAAATCAACTAGAAAAACAAACTCCAATGCTATTTCAGGAATTTATGTATCTGTACAGTCATCCACAATCAATTTTCATTTTTGCATTTTTTTTAAAACAAGTTGTCTCTAGGAAACAGTCTGACAAAAATTGCCCTCTAAAACTCCTAATGAATCCTTGCCCAACAGAAGGCACTGAACTCAAAAAAGTTTCACTGCATGATGAATTTATAACACGGCAATCTGCAGGCACCAAAACAAGAAGTCAACAAGAAGTACCTAAGATATGACAGTTAAATGAGCAAACATACATCATTTTCCTTCTGAAGAGGAGTCAAAGCAGCGACTAAAGATTTCAGACTTGGCCGCTCTCGGAGTTCATACTGTAAACATCGAGAAGCCAAGCGTACTAACTCAGTCCCATCATCACTGGAAAACTGTCCTTCCAAACAAGAATCTGTCAGCATCTGAAGATTTCTATCCCGTATCAAGTCAAGGGCCTGGAACAATTTTCTTTTGAGTGTTAAATTTATGTGGACAAGCTTGTGTGACAAAGTATTTATAAACATGGGGAGGAAAACACAGTTTTTTTTTTTTTTTTTTTTGTGTTTGGTAGAGAGATCAAGAACGTTCATCAATGGATCCAAACGAGAGTTATACTAGTAAATTTACATTTGAATGATGTGCACTCACATGACTTGGGGGGATATGCTTTCCACTGAGAAGGTCAAGCAAAAGAGTGCCAAAACTATATATCACACTCTCTGGTGTTACTCTCCCTGAAACAAAGACAAGGAACATAAGCAAAGTCTTGGATTAACTTATATTCGAAGGATTAAATAATATTAGCGCCCAAAAACATTGGAGGGCAAGAACACAATTAGACAGCTATGATGACACAAAATTAGCACCACTACAAGATATTATGCAGACAAGTACAATTTAGTCAAAATTCTCTATTCTGGGATGCAATCAAAATTGATAAATATGACCGAAATCTCATACTCTATACAACGCAAGAAAAGCATGCCTAACAGGGAAATCATCATGAGATCGCACATCTCTCAGAACTATAATAAAATGCATTGGCCTAGATACTATTATAAGAGTTCCATTATATGGATCTAAATTCTGAAAACCTTTTGGGCAGGTCAGAAGAATAGTAATGTTATGCATCAGAAGTTTTACAAGCATGAACAC